CGCACAAGCCGTGACATATCCGTGGCGACCTCGTTGCAAGACCATGAAAAGTGCTTCTACAATCGGCAAGTCCCAAGATATGAAATCGCTGTCGACGGTGGTAGATCGATATGATTCATGTCACACAAAGCGCTTCGTGTTGTGTCAGTGGATAGGTTTAACCGCTAGATTTCAGTGGCCTGCGATCGGGGCTTAAGACACGAGGATCGAAATCGCCATATGTGACCAGGAAACCACCGGACATCCATTCATTATTGCTACATCGTGCTGGAGTTCCAGAACTAAACTGCCATCACCAAATAGCTAATAATAAGCACACGAGTTTAAGACAGTCAAGATAGGTAGAATTAATGTCACCGCGCACCCGTGATCGACCAGACACTAGTTCACGAACTCTTCACATCCGTCTTTAGGATGGGTGACGATGGGCATTGGGCAGGACAGTGTCACCTCATTATCACACCTTTCCTTTTGCCTCTTACGTCGTGGAGCACTCGTTTTGGGGATACAGTCCGCCTACGTCCGTACATCATTTCTTGAACATGACCACGATAGTACGACCTACTTACTTCAGGATAGTCCTCTCAACACCTCGTCAAGTTCTCCCTGCACCTTTTGTAGCTCATCTCGCTTCTTCTGCAGTTCTCCACTGTTGTAAACCCTCAACGCTGCTCGGGTCTCATCCACGAACTTGTGGGATCTCTCTGTAGACATTGACAGGTCAGGAGACTCTGTGGTATCCGTTCGTGTAGGAAGAAGGCTTGAGAAATCCACACCAGATGCACGCAAAAGAGCGAAGTCACGTAGAGTATTGTTGAGTGCAAGGGGTTTGGACTTGGACGACATTGTGTTCATAGAAGTCACAAACTAAGGTACCTGTAATTCTACCCAGTTCTGCGTGCGCCCGGAGTTGCAAACTTGGCGACTGCCATCAAGTTGACTAGACGTTTGCTTAGTCGACATCTTCCGCCTCGAAGCGTATCATCTTCCAAGCTGTGCTCGATCGTTTCTGTCCTAGTATCATGATGTGGACCCCGGCTCTCACTTTGACCGTAATGAAGACGCCCTGCTGGTAGTGCTGACAATCCAGGACGATGATCCACGTCTCCCGCTCCTTACTCTTTTTCTGAACAACTTCGATCCATTCTTATCGGGAAACCTGAAATCAATCATGACCCTTCGTCACTGAACGCCCGAGACGATGGAACAATCTTTCGTTGTCCCCCTCAGTATCGGCGGCCAACGAGGCTACCCCACCTCGCAGAACCGAACCCACGCACCTGATTCCCCAGATGCAGACGTCGTTACTCTCTCGACAGACCCCCTTTGTTTCCGCGACGAATCCGCGTGCACCACACTGGAACCAACATCAGGGTAGTTCCGCCTTCTGTTCACCTTGCACGAGCTCCCCACCCAACACCGATTAGCCCAGTGATCGAACACTCATACTCGCCAGCCCCGAAGCAACTCACGTCAACGAAGACTCATCTACGCTTCTTCCTATCCAGGCTCTTACCTCACACGACACTATTGAGAGGAGAGAAGGGTTGCACCGTTGTATACAGTATCTCTACGAGACTTTGGTGTCGAAGATCTGTTCGCACTCACTCAAGCCCCTCGGTAGTCGAAGCCGTACATCTCCTCGATGATCATCCGTGATAACATCATGGTGCTTGTCCACTGGGTTTTAGCCAAGGAAAGGAAGCTATGCACTCGCTATCGACGACCTGTGAAGGTTTGGGAATATGCATGACCCCGCGTGCCAGACGGAACAGACACTTGTCGAGCAATCACGGATTGGTTCTACACTCTGCCTAGGGAGAATAGAGTCCGGCATTAGGTGCCCGCTCCTCTGGTGGATCATTGTATTATTGTCTGCTTCTACTGTATTCTTTTATTGTGATCAACATCGCTGCGACTCTCAGGTCGGGTAAGCGTCACCTTAGCATGACGAAGGACCATATGTGCATGATTATCCGGAATTTCGGTGGGGATGACGAGGGTAGGTGATAGACGTGTTGAGCCTCTCGTGAGACCTAGCCCATAATCATAATATGAGCTGGACGCGGCGTAAATCAAGTACGAATAGTTCGAGTCAGCTCACAAGAGCGAGGGAATCACCATGGTTTCGTTTCAGAAATCCCCCATCGAAAACTCGGCGGGCTTCCATATGACCTGGGCGCAAACGGGGCACATAAACCATTCAGTTGAATGTGAGGTGTGGAGTCGAAGTTAGAAACTTGCGGATGAGGTGAGCAAGGTCGGCCCCTCGCGATCTGGAATGCATCCTATAAGAGATGAGAGCAGTATACAGAAAGAGTCTGGCCGTAATATGAGCAGCGATCCGGTCAGGGTTTCCCGAGAATATTGCGTGTCTGCCAGCCCTCGTACCAGGGATGTGGATGTAAAGAACGACGGGATGCGCTTTATGTTGCCAGTGACCGGCGAGACATAACGGAGATAGATGGTAACCAAGGCTCCCGGCGAGTGTAACAAACTTTGTAGAACGAAAGCGGGCCCTAATCAACAGGACAAGGTTCGAGCGATTCGTAAGCGCTGCGCACCTTCCAGACAGTTGGGCACAAGGTAGTACTCTGTGTGGTCCGCAGTCTTGGCGGAGTGCTGTTGCGACCTCCTACGGACTTCAATATGGTAACTCGTATCAGTAGACAGTGTGAGACACGAAGTACTCTTGCTTAGGAGTATGTATGAATGTCGTAGCTGGGTTACTGTCGCCGTCGTCATTCTCAACATCTTCGTGTCTATCAACCCGCGCACACCGAACAAGCCAATACAACAGATCAGTGTATGATCCAGGTGGAGCTTACGAACTGGTGGTGGGACGCTTGAGAGCATTGGCACAGACTTCGTCTATCTTTCGCTGAAGGACGCGTATCACAGCAGTCGTAGACGTGTTGTGTTTCACTCCTGCCAGAATAGATGTTATCATTATTATCACGTCTTGTCATGTATATATCCGCATATTAGTATTCACAGCGTTTTCTACGTCTGCGTGAGGTTGGATTTCCTCTTCCTTCGTCCAGCCTTTCCAGCGCGCGTCCCAATGCCGAACCAGTACGTTTCAACGCCGCTAAGAACGCTCGGACTTCTCGCACCCCCCCTGGTACCTGCGTGAAGTGTCGTGCTTCCCCTTGGACTTGACCTTTGCTCTCTACTTCGCATGAGTCAGGACTCCACAAATCTTGCGTGGATGGATTTAGGTGATGAATATATGCAAGAGGAGAACCACAGGCGAGATCAACGGAAGGCCGTTTTCTCATCTGGCGCGCCGACGTCAACCCAGTCACCAAACGGCAGCGCAGCATCCGTCGTTCGTTCCGACCTACGCGCAACCCTGCCCTGCCTCCTCTCATCCCTCTCTTTCTTCACTCGACGCCAGCTACCAAACTCCCACCCGTCCTCATCATCTGGCTTCAGTACCGCGCTCTTCCACGACTCCTCGCCTTTCCATCCTTTCTTTGACACGTCGAGCCTCGGTTTACGCGGCGGATCACGAAGCACGAGTTTCTCGATCCGTGTAAGAAGTCTCATCACCTCTGCTTCTCCAAGCTCCGCCCAAAGCCTCCTCGCGAGTGGATTAATATCCTCCTTCTTTGCGGCTCCTTCCCCAATCCCGCTCCCAATCCCGCTCCCAATCCCGCTCCCAATCCCCCCCCCACCTGACTCCACAGGCCTCGCCTCCGCCACCTCCCTCCTCACCCGCTCCGCCACCACCCTCGTCCTCCCGTCCCCTCTCACCCCGTTCCCCCTCATCTCTTCCAGTGCTTTACAGACACCCTCCAGATCACCCCATCCCTCCCATTTAGCCTGTATGAGCTCGTTGTACGCTGGAGCCGTACACCCGAAGACGTACGATGGTATTGAAAGATGTGCAGCGTGGGTAAAGATGGAGAGGGAGAGGGAGGGATTGGAGTAGGTCGTCCGGAAGAGACGCATGAGGTGGGCTAGGAGGTGGGGGTAGGTTGAGGGTTGTAGGGGGGGCGAAGTCGAGGCCGAGATCGAGGATGTAGGAAACAAAGATAAGGTGGGAGCCGTAGCAGACGCCTTCCTGTCCCTCGTCGCACCAGCGCCCGTCGCGGACGCAGTGGAAGCCTCGAGCGCTTTCCTAGCTTCCTCGTCCCATTTCATAGACTCCCCGAATACTTCTCTCATCGCCCATTCGAGTAGCTCTTGGTCGGTATTACACAGCTCCATTTGTTCCTTCTTCCGATCTAGTTCTTCATCGATGGCTGAGGTCCACCGTACGCGCGAGGAGTGCCGACGCAGCGTGCGGAAGAGGTCGTTCAGCGGTGCGTTCTGGCCGGAAGTCACAGTCGAAGGGGTGCGTCCGATGCTTGGGGGTTGGTCTAGCGCAGAAGCAGCCGCGGACGTCGACGACGACGAAGGCACAGACTTATGCTCAGAAACAGCACTAAATATCAGATTAAACATCTCGTCGAATACGCTGATCTCTCGAGCCGTCATAGACTCTTTACGAGCCCGGATCGTCGACGATCGTCCCAAGATACTTTTCCCACCTCCGCTTCCGCTGGCGTCTTTGGTGCCGGGTGTAGTTGTGGAGGGGGGTGAACTATAGGTCTGACGGCGTGGGTTGCGCACGGCGGCGGGAAGGAGGGGGGGTATGTTATCGAGGTCAGCAAAGACGTGGTCCCAGGGTGATTCTGGAGCTGTGAAGATGGAGTCTTGGGGGGTAGTTTGGGATTTGGCTGAGGAAGTGGATGGGGAGGGGATAGGTGAGCTGGGAGATGAGGACGAAGGGAAGGAGGCATGCTTAGTATTCGAGAATGTCCTGGATGATGATGGCCGAGCCAGGGAGGCCAGACGATGGGGTTGGCGACGACAAACAAGCATCGTTGAGAGTGTCGTCGCTATCGAACTCAGCATAGAACGGATTCAGGACGCGACAAGCTTTTGAGAGAAAAAAAGGAAATGGTTATACGGCAACAACTTATGTTGCTGTTAGTTAACTTGAGTTATAAGGCGCTATAGCCAAGTGGTTACGGCGACAGATTAGAAATCTGTTCCTCTATGAGGGCGCAGGTTCGAATCCTGCTGGCGTCGAATTGTTTTACCTAACCTTGGTCCGGTGATCTGCACTTGCTAACGACCTTTTTAACCCCTGGTGCCTGTAAGTAACACGAACAGTATCCCACGAGCGGTCTACAACTAATTTCTAGGCACAAGTCTGCCAGCCAAGAAATATAGATAGATCGGACGACGGTATAGTTGACTACGTATCCGAAGGCTTTGGCTTGTGAATAGGCCATACAGGTACCTAATGGACGGGGAGGAGGGCATCAGCGCAATTGGCCTCCACTGAGAACAAGATATAAAAGCCATACTAGCTTACGAGAGTCATGATCCGGGTGGGGTGGATGACGACGGGAAGCTCGGCTGTACGCATTAGAAGGACCGAATTCGACTGATGCAGATAGAAAGGAGGTATGGCTCGGAGCGGTTTGGAGCGGTATTTCCGTTGATCTATATATGACTTGGTTGTTCGGGCGTAGCGCCCTTGAGAGCACCCAGTCCGCGGATTGACTAAAATGAGTCCGTCTTTAAGAAAAATGGGCGTGGCATTGGCTGCTCCGCCAAGGCCGGGGTGAATGTTTGGTACTCCGGGTTATGGTTATGACCACAGGGGAACCAAAGCCTGCAGAAAAGAAAACGAACGCGCTGACTAGTACTACGCCATGTCCAATGTGGCGACTCAATCTCTGATCAGGCTCGGAGTTGCACAGCGACTTCTCGGAGGAAATCGTGGTCACTTGGCAGCAGGTGACCGGTGACTGGTGACATAGTGGCAACTGAGGAGTCTGAGCGTGGTGCTGCGGATACACGAAGTCAAATGATGTGGATTGGCAAAGGAAGGCCTGGACGCACAGGACGGCGAACATGGAGTACTGCCAGTGCCAGTAAGCCTAGTCTCGCTCTAGATTGAGTAATAGAAGGCAACTTGGCAAGTCCTGCCAGCACCGTGAGAATTGTCATTGGGGGTGGCTGTGGTCCATAGGAGACCGCGTTCCGCTTTCTCAGCACAAAAGTTTCTTTCAAGTTCTCCAACACGACAACTCCCGCCCATTTTTCTCTTTTTACTTTCAAGTTCAACGACTGCAAATTCAATAAAAGGGACTCTGGATGGTGTACAGCGTCGACACCACGAAGCAACCACTGCAGCCTGCTTTCCCCCCGACTCTCGCAGATCTGAGCAGAAATACCTCAGTAATATCGTCTTCCTCTGACTCCGAAACAAGCGCCACCACCGTTCTCAAGACACCCCGTCCACGGCCCACCCGTACCTTCTCTTCTCCTCGCTCTTGCAGTCCACAATCACCACCCTCACAAATTATCCGACCGCCCCCTGCATACCTAACGAGAGAACTGGGAGGGTCGGATGAGATCGGGAATCGGGATGTCGTACCCGAACCAGTGCCCATCAGTAGACAAGCTCAACCGCGTTCCAAATCGCGCAAACGCTCGAGGTCCCAAAATCCCTCTGCAAATACCCGTTTGTCAGCACAGGATTTTGTCTTTGGAGAAACCCTCGGGGAGGGATCGTATTCCACTGTGCGTCCGCCGAATGTGCCACGACGACGGCCGCCTTGCTGATTCATATCCTACGTAATACGTGACCACCACACACCAGGTGATGCGCGCACGGCACGCACGTACGGGACAAGAGTACGCTATCAAGATTCTGGACAAGAACCATCTGATTCGCAAGGAAAAGATGCTTGTGGCTCTTGCTGAGAAGAACACACTTGTCAGGCTCGGTGCGGGTCACCCGGGCATTATTCATCTCCACTGGACGTTTCAGGATGACTGGAGCTTATGTGCGTCGCCCTCCGCAACGGATGTCGTGTTTGACGTTTGATTGAAATGAGGTTGTAGTCTTCGTTCTCGATCTTGCGACGAACGGAGAAATGCAAACGCGGATATCGCGGATGGGATCGTTGTCATTAGCGTGCACGAGGTATTATACAGCACAAATAGTAGATGCTATAGAGTACATGCACGATAAAGATGTCATTCACAGGTACGTTCCTTTTATCAAGGACAATGTCATAATCACCTTCTTATCGCTCACTTGGAATTTCGTAGGGACCTCAAGCCGGAAAACTTGCTCCTTGACAGCAACTTTAGGATAAAGATCACTGATTTCGGGACAGGGAAGATCCTGGAAGGCGGTCGTGAGTTGTCAAGTTTATTTTTTCCCCTTGCGTCCGCTCACCAACGCTCCACAAAACGCACACGGGCATCTCAGAAGAACGAGCCAACTCGTTCGTAGGGACCGCTCAATATGTCTCCCCAGAACTATTGGAACGTAATGAGACCTCTAAGAGGTGAGCTACCTCCCGTCTCTCCATTCCACCAGACTCATATCCTCCCCGTACAGCTCCGACCTCTGGTCACTAGGCTGTATCGTCTTTCAAATGATAGCAGGCAAATTCGCCTTCCAGGGACTCTCAGATTACCTCACATGGCAGAAGATAAAGTCGCTTGATTATACCTTCCCGGAAGGGTTCAACGAAGATGCTAGGGATTTCGTGAGCAAGCTTTTGGTATTTATTGCTCCTTTTTTCTCCCTCCCTTGTGAACAATGTAATGAACTCACCACGTCCCCGAGAATAGGTCCGCGATCCCCTCGAACGCCTCGGTGCCTCTGGCTCTCCATCGCCCACCTCACCTCTCCGAACTCACCCTTTCCTCGCTTCCATAAACTGGGAAACACTCTGGACGGGCCCAGTCCCTCCGCTCGAGCCTGGGCTGGTAAAGAGAGAATTTCGCCGCGGGAGAGGCGAAGGTGGTGGACTATGGGACACAGAAGGGGAGGACGGAGCATGGGAGGATGTTGGTGTGAAATGGGATGGGCTCGTCGGCGTAGGCGATGACGTAGACGTTGATGTCGAAACGGATGAGAGGGAGGGGGCGGCAGTGGATGGTGGCCACGTCGTGGAGGGTAACGGGAGAGCAAACGGGGTAGCTGGGAGGGTCGATAATGATGGTATCGGATGGGCGGAGGATGCAGAGGGACCAGAGTTTGAGAGGTACAGATTGAGGGATGTACGTCCTCTCAAACGGGCTTCGCGGATAGTAGAAGAAGACGGTCCAATGGACGAGGTAGCAGATTACACGCTCGCGGTTGCGGGGAGCATTGAGGGTGCCAGCCCAGCGTCCGGCCGGGAGGACACCAAGGAGGGGGATGAAACTTTCAAGGCAGCCGTAGACGTCGGCAAAGAGCAAACCTTGAACGACCAGACGAAGCACTCCATGACACTCCCCCACTCCACGTTAAGCTCAACGTCAGTACCAATATCTATGCCCATGCTTCCCATTCCCAACAACGCCACCGGGTCAGGTACGAGTTCGTCAGACGGGAGCCTGGCGGATAAGGCGGGAGCCCCCCCTGCGCTCGCAGCTATGGAACTGAATAGGGGCCGTAATCGGGCGTTGACACCCGTACAGGGCAACGGGCTGTTGCGTGATGCGGACTGGTACGTCGCTTTTTCGTCGGATCAGCGGGCTGAACCCACGTCCTTCTCCGCGCATACAGGTTCTGTTTACTCCTTCCGGGAGAAATTGCCCTGTTTAGCACCCGCGTGGAAGCCCGCTCTCCAAAACGCCGAGGGAGCAGACTCAGACTGCCGATTAGCGTTTCGCCTATCCGACCGAAGACGAGACAACTCTTGTTAACGACGCATCGGCTGTTGTGCGTCAAGCAGAGAGTGGAGGGTGGGGTTAGTTTAAAGACGGAGTTGAGTTTGAGGAGGGGTGTTAGTGCTCTGGGTGCGGGCGGGGAGAAGTCGGAGAAGGAGAGGTTTAAAGAAAAAGAGAGGGACAAGGAGAAAGACAAGGAGAAGGAGAAAGACAGAGAAGCAAAGTCTATCGTGGAGAGCGCAGAAAGAAAGGGCGAGAGAGAGTTTGTCGTCTTAACGGTAAGTCACAACTTATTTTCGCCTCCCAGTCCGACTGAACCGAACTGTCTCGCGCATACAGTCGACAAAGTCCCAGACGTATGCTGCTGAATCGAGCGCTGTTGCTGCTCAGTGGGTAGGGAAGATAAACGCTGCCCTTGTTTCTTCCTCGATATCACCACCCCAACCCCAATCCCAACAACCCCAACCCCAACCTTCGTCTTCAGCCGTTTCAATGCCGAAACGCTAATACGAAGTCACAATGACCATGAATCATTTTGATACACGCGCCGTATGCACGTCCATTCACACGACGACGATCAGTTCCTAAGTTTCTCCGAATTCATCTCTTTGGACAGGTTCGGGTTATCGATCTTCACCCAGTTGGGGTTTGGGTTAGATAACTACTACACGCGGCACCTCCGAGATGTTCCCATACTGCATTACTTGGATAGTTTTTGTATCTCAATGACGTGTATCACGGGCTCTTTTGCCTTTGTATCGCTTACTGTGGTTATTCTTGGAGTAATTATTGCTGGCGATACACTATGGTGGTCTCGGCGCAGACTCTAATACACGTCGGGCCATGATCATAGAACCATACTCATGATTATGGGGTACGTTTTGTATCGTGTGTTAATCCATCCATCCATCCATGTACGTCGTAAATGGGAAGACAGGGGCTCGATAGACTGTTCGTTAACCAGGAGGGAGCAAGCTAGCATCGACAGTACCTCCCTCTTCTGAGATATCATCCGAGTCCTCTGGCGACCTCGCAATAGGCGTACGCGGCATCGCCATCAAACCTATCCAAACCAAACCAAACCATGGTGAGTTCAAATCCACCCAAGAAAGAAAAAGGGACAGCAGATCCCAACCCACCCGTCCGTGCGCTCTCCAAGATCCCAAAAGGCTTCAAGAGGCTCAAGAACGCGATCACCCTGTTCGTCTTGGCCGTCAACTCCACGATGACGCTGTTATCGCTGACGTCCACGATCTTCGCTCCGAACTGGTTAGCGAGGACGGAGATGGATTGGAGGTGTTGGTGCTTCAGCCTCAGAGCCTCTGACGCCGTCAACGGGAGCGGCGTCTGTGGGTCTGTAGAGAGCGTCTCTGGGTGTCCGCCCTTCTCGAAGTTGTGTGCCA